TACTCATTTTCGTTTGTTAGACCATAAATTACATCACTGAGCATCTTCCATAGTTTACCTTACTTTACACAGAAAAATTGAAGAATAATTTGGGGCGTCCTCTAATCTGAAATTTGGAAACATAATGATATTTTTCTTCGGGCCACTTCTGTGTCTAAAAACAAGATACAAAGATAATCTCCGCTTTATCGTTATAAAGTTCTTCAAAGAACAAAACGCGTTGGTATAGAAAAGATTTATTTTCGTGCTTTCTTTGTTGCATATATATATATTTTAATCATTTCACCACCAAAGCAGGCAACAACGTTTCAAAGACGCAAGGTATTATTGAGTGTAAGGGACTGTGCCAAAAATGATTAATGAGAGAGGAGAATAAAAGAACTGGAATTAAGAAGACAGAAGATAACGATTGATATTGCATTTCAATTTTTGAAGATCAAAGGCAATAAAGCCACTAGGATGCAGGGGGTTATTGAGTGTTAGAGAATATGAGAAAAACTACTATTAATGAGAGAGGACAATAAAAGAACTGGAATTAAGAAGACAGAAGATAACGATTGACATTGCATTTCAATTTAGGAAGATCAAAGGCAATAAAGCCACTAGGATTGCAAAGGGTTACTGAGTGTTAGAGAATATGAGAAAAACTACTATTAATGAGAGATGACAATAAAAGAACTGGAATTAAGAAGACAGAAGATAATGACTGATAATTTCAATTTTTTAAGATCAAAGGCAATAAAGTCACTAGGATGCAAGGGGTTACTGAGTGTTAGAGAATATGAGGAAAACTACTATTAATGAGAGAGGAAAATGAAAGAACTGGAATTAAGTAGACAGAAGATATCGATTGACATTGCATTTCAATTTTTGAAAATCGAAGACAATAAAGCCACTAGGATGCAAGGGGGTTACTGAGTGTTAGAGAATATGAGAAAAACTACGATTAAGGAGAGGAAATAATAAAAGAACACGAATTAATAAGACAGGAGATAATGATTGATGTTGCATTTAAATGTTTGGAGATCAAAGTTTATTGGCAATCAAGAATCCGGAAGAGAGTTCCAAAAGGGTGATGTGCGAGAAAAGAATCTATTTGCCACAAACTGTCACAAATTCAGAGAGGTAAGTTCAAATAGCCGCAAATCCACTCTTCAGCTTCGTCGGCTTCGTCGTCTTGGTCCCGTCTTGCTGATTGCCACTGACGTTTTTTTTTATGTGTTCAAAGGTAGGTACAGTCATCATCCTCATTTTTCGACCGCAGTCGGGATCATCGAGCCAATGAGAACGATCCTTTTCTTTAGCTGCATACAGGGATACATACAATTTTGTAATTCAGAGTTACTTTCTCCTAGACCGGTTGCCACCAAAGGCTAAAAAACCTAGTCTGTCCTGCTATTTGGTTGGGTAAGAAGAAGAAGAGAATTTATATCTTTCCTAAGGGCATTAGTACGTGAATTTAATGGATTCGACTGGAATTCGAACCCGGCTCACCGAATCCTAAACCCATTCCTTAACAGTGCCGAATTATTCCATCAACACAGTAGGTTGCAGCTCCTGGCTATTCCATCAAAAGTTTTCTGTTATAAACAATGGAATGCGTTTTTTTATTTTATATCATGTAGCCAATGGCATCGGCAGGCGCACGCCCTCAACCTTTTTGAAGGTAACTTCATTAGTTACGTCTGCACATGTCAACTGTCGTATGTTGAGACCTAAATGTCCATCAAGTTCCGCGTTTAACTTAATAAAATCTAGGTACCATTTATTTCAGTAGGTATTCTCCTTCTCCTCCATAAAGGTATCCGTGCCATTTTAGTGACTTTCTTGTGTGTTCTCGATTATTATAGGTGAAGAAATATAATCTGGCTCAGTCCACTATTCAATAATTCAGTAAGACGGTTTATTAAGTTAACAAAAAATCTCTTCCCAAAATGGCGCATATGAAACGAAAAAATTAGCAAAACAAGAAATTGTCGTGCAGATAATAAAGAAACAAAATAGTAGTTTGATTCACTGTGTTGTACTAGACAATTATTAAAAAGAAGAATTTGCAATATTATTGGTCCTGGACAAGGCATGCTGTCTTCAGTCCCACCAATCAACTGTCTTCTTAATCTATGTCCTTTTATTTTCTAGCTTCTTCACGGTTTTTCTTTTTCTCAAAATCTTTCACATTCTGTAATCCCTTGCGCCTTGCTGGCTTTGTTGCCTTCTTGGTGTAAAATGTTAAAAACATAATCCTTAATCTTGTTACTGTACGCCCAAATATAGTTGTCTAATTGGGTGTCTATAAGAAAGCTTAATATACGAAACTAGGTTAAAAGCAGACAGCGGACCTGATATGAGTTATTTAGAAGTAAGCGAATGTGCTTTGAAAGCAAGGTATCCTTTTTCATTAATAGACAATACGAATACAGTACAACACTGTCCAAATATGTATGGGAATAGAAGGATAAATTTTCTATATCCTTTCCCACTGAGAGGAAGATTATAAAGTGAGCACAAGATGGAAAGACAATATATAAATATTATGCATTATTCATACAAGAAAATCCAAAATATAACATTCTTCATGCAGGAAAGATTTCTACTGGAGAGCACATTTTATTTTGTTATCGCGAATACCCAAAGCTTGATATACGAAACCAGAGTAAAGGCAGACGGCGGATCTAATATGAGTTATTTAGGAGCAAGCGAATATGGTTGGAAAGCAAGGTATCCGTTTTCATTAATAGACTACGAATAGAGTACAACACTGTCTAAATATGTATGGAAATAGAAGGATAGATTTTCCAAATCCTTTCCCGCTGAGTGGAAGATTATAAAGAGAACACAGGATTATAAAACATTATATAAATATTACGGATTAATCTTACAAGAAAACTCCGAATTATAACATTTCAGGGCAGGAACGATTTTTACCGGAGAGCATATTTTATTTTGTTATCGGGAATGCCCAAAGCTTAAAATATGAAACTAGGATAAAGGCACACGGCGGACTTGACATGAGTTATATAGGAGCAAACAAATGTATTTGGAAAGCAAGTTTTCTCTTTTTATTAATCAACAGTACAGATACAGTACAATACTATCCAAATATATATGGCAACGGAAGGATAAATTTTCCAAATCCCTTCTCGTTGAGCCGAAAATTGAAAAGCGAGCACAAGATTGAAAGACAATATATAAATATTACGGATTATTCAGGCAAGAAAAAAATCCGAATTATGACATTCCCGAGCAGAAACGATTTATACCGGAGAGCACATTTTCTTTATTTTGTTATTACGAATACCCAGGACGATAGACGTAATACAGGTCCATTCTTTAAATGCTATGTCAATCGTTATAAATTATGTCCTTCTATTGTTCCTTAATAATGTTTTTCTTACATTCTTTCATACTCAGCAAAATATCCAGACTGTTAGTGGCCGTATTACCTTGTGTGGGGTGAAATGATAAAGAGAAACAAAGTACCTATAATAGTCCAATTCTATCAGTAATACTTGCATTGATTCCTAACCACTCATAAAGCCTTCCTGATTTCGAATATACATATATATTATATTAGTTCGATTTCTACGTTTAAGTAGTGTATATACACAGTTTAACAAAAAGTGAATATTTATAGGTTTACGCAAAAATATATTTATATTGAAATCATTAGCAAAGCATTTTTAGTATTTCAGTTGAAGTAACAGAAAACGGCCGGTTCTGGCGTCTGCAACAGGGATTGGTTAGCCACTATAATGGAATCCATATTCGCACGGGGTTAACAGAGGGTGACTATTATTATACATGAAACTTCGAAATGAAGAATAGTAATATATTGTGATGAAACGGATATTTTCATCTGTCCGAGTCTGAATGCGGCAAACAATTTATGATCGCCGAAGACGCAGGTTTACCAGTTAAAATGAAATATAATTTATCTATTGTATATAATTTCATTTTTATTGCTCGTTAAAAGTACAGGACCAAATATAATGAAAGCAAACGACAGTTCTCCCACCCAACACACATACACACACACACACACACACACACACACACACACACACACACACACACACATATATATATATATATATATATATATATATATATATATATATATATATATTTCTGCGTTTAAGTAGTGTATATACACAGTTTAACAAAAAGTCAATAGTTCGCGCAAAAATATATCAATTTTAAAATATTACGATATATATATATATATATATATATATATATATATATATATATAGAGATATTTATGTGTATATATATATATATATATATATATATATATATATATATATATATATATATATATATTTCACTATCTATCTAGCTAGCTAGCTATTTCTATATGTATATTAAGTAACGTACATACGTAATTTAACAAAATATATTCATCGTTTGTATATATATATATATATATATATATATATATATACAAACAAAACAACACACACACACATATACACATGTAAATATCTCTCTCTCTCTCTCTATATATATATATATATATATATATATATGAATAAAAAGATAAGAGGAAAACTATACTAAGTCTTGTCCGACGAGTTTCGTCTTCTGACGGACATTATCAAGGCAAATGCAATAATTCTATTTTGAAGAAAGTATCTATAAATAAATATAAAATGTTGTTAGTTACTTTAGAAGAGTGGTTTGAGTAGAAACTGATCAGATCATTTTTGTTTCTAGCCTTTCTGTAAGCGTCAAAATTGAGTTGAGTATTATTTCTATGTAATATGATGTCCAGGAACGGAAAAATTTTAGTTGGTTTATATATTTTTTATATATATATATATATATATATATATATATATATATATATATATATATATATATATATATATATATATATATATATATATATATATATATATATATATACATATATATATATACATATATATATATATATATATATATATATATATATATATATATATATATCACTCTTTCCTTCCAACATTAACTATGTAGGCCACATCGCGTTGAAACACCGGTTCCCTTACTATCACCGAAGTTAAACAACGTCGAGCCTGGTCAATAACTTCATGGGTGACCCTTTGGGAATATCAGATGCTGTAAGCTTGGATGTGGGGGTGATGGAATGGAAAATGGCACGGAATGGCTAATCGGAGAGCCGTGTTCCAATTCCATTTGGATTCGTTTTATTCACTTATTTGCAAATCCCATATGGAAATCTAAGAATCCAACTCTTCTTCCCGCCAGATGTGGGTTAATTACAGCCAGGCTGTGAACTTTTCAGCACCACTTTGTAGATATGCGTCTGGATAAAATTGTTTTAAACTCTCTCCTCAAAAACTGAAAAAACAAAAATTATTACAGCTATTCTCAACCCTGATAGGAAGCATCCCTCTCATATTCACATAGTCATTTTGTGTGTTTGTATTTATCCGTGTGAGTAAAACAGGTTGGCAATGTACTAGTGTGCACTAAAATGCCTTAATTTTAATCGGATTGGGGTCGTGTGTGACTTTGGACGTGAGCGCGTGTTTATGCCAGTTGAAGTCGGCTTTTCGAATGTACATACATCATAGATAATAGATTCGTTGCTTGGGAGACTGTATAATTGAAGCAAAACAAAATAAGACGAAAAAATATCTCTCATATAATAAGACAAAGATTTACGTACGTCAACTTCGTCTACTTAACAACGTAGTAATCTCTGAGAAAGTTTTGCTCGCATCAAGAATGAAAATTTCAAGTCGCTTCACCGATTCCAAGCCAGACAGGATACTGCAAAGACAATACTTCAATAAAGCAAAAATTACTAAAAAAATAATAATATGTGTAAAATATGTATGTATCTCTCCAAACTTAACAACGTTGAACCCACAATAAACTTCACTTTTGAAACTGAAACCAACTACACTCTTCCGTTCCTGGACATCATACTACATAAAAATAATAACCAACTCAATTTTGACGTTTACAGAAAGGCTACAAACAAAAATGATCTGATCAGTTTCTACTCAAACCACTCTTCTAAAATTAAATCTGGAATTATTATAGGTTTCGATCTAAGAGCATTAAGAATCTACAGTCCCAATAATATTTACTTAAAGAAGAAACATACATAGAAAACACATTCAAAACCTACAATACCCATATCATTTCATCCACCAACGCAAGAAGAAAGGCATACAAAATATACAACCGAAACAAAACTAATAACATAATCCGCATATATATATATATATATATATATATATATATATATATATATATATATATATATGTGTGTGTGTGTGTGTGTGTGTGTGTGTACCTGTTTCATCAGACCGACTATATTTATTTAATAAATTTAATTAATAAAATGTAGTCGGTCTGAAGAAAAGGTAACTCCCACCTCACCTCTCTCTCTCTCTATATATATATATATATATATATATATATATATATATGTGTGTGTGTGTGTGTGTGTGTATCTATGTATAACTTGAAATAAATTTCTAACTGCTTATATGATGAATTAAGCCTATCGCTTATTATATATATATATATATACACACACACACACATATATATCTATATATATATATATATATATATATATATATATATATATATATATATATATATATTAAATAAAAAAAGAAAGAAAATGGAATACGTAATCCGGTGTTCTTATTGATATTTTTTTATAAAATAGTGCTCATTGTAAATTTACAGAGCATTAATATCATAAATTAACTGATTTAAAATGTTTTTTTGCTACAGAGTAATAACCATGGTTATTACTGAGTAGCGAAAAAAAACATATTTTAAATCAGTTAATTTATATATATATATATATATATATATATATATATATATATATATATATATATATATATATATATATATATATAATAATAAGGTCAGCTGGACACTATACTAAAATCAAGTGGCTATCAGCTTCACATTCCATACAAACTCTTTCTTATCGGTTCGGTGATTATTGAAAAAGAGTTAAACAAAATGGCCGCTGACCAACGAACGAAATGGCAGCCTATTGCCGTGTCCATTGAGCCCGGACGTCTGCGTCCATTGGCGGCAAAATATCGAACGAGCTGGCGCAATTGAGCGTAACTTGCTTCGTGTTTCTCGGGCCGCAGCCTCCGACAGCAAAGTTTAGATCAATTTCCACGCTCCAACGACGAGGCGCTTTTTAAGCCAAGGCCCGTTTGGCAGGTCCGGATGTATTAAAAGGTTTCGTACATAGAGTGTATAAGATTGCAATATCCGACCGTTGGGACAATATTTGAAAAACATCAAGCCATAACCCGCTTTCTTCATTTCTTGATTGCTTCCTTTTGCTTTAGATGCTTTGCGGTCGGGGCCCCATTATGGTCTTAATAAATTTCTTTCTTTTTTTTATTATTTTCTCCACTTTTCTTTTCGTTTTTCTTTCATTCTTTGCTTTTCTTTTTCTTCTGCCCGTGTCTTTATTTCTTACCTGATCTCATTTTATTTACTTTTTCTTGTTGCTGTTAATTTTCTATTTTTTTTCTTTTCATATCTTCTTTCTTTTTTTTAAATTTTTCTTCTTTTTCTTCTTCGTAACATAATAAACTTTGCCAAGTCTGACACAAACCATAAGCTTACAGTAAATATCTATGTGTTTCTCTGGGTTCACCAATGTATGTTCTATCCAGGGGATTATCACAGGGATTACTGAACACAAGGCGGAGAGATGGTATTTATCAATCCACCCACGGGGATCGAATGTGGCACAAGGCCTTTTTAACGTGGGTATCTCTGAGCCCGTAGGCCCAGCCAAAAATAAATAACCATCCAAACCCGCCGAGGCGGGCCAGTTCCGTCAATCTCCCCCAACGAAACCCTACCCTTCGGCGGAGCTTCGTCCGGGTTCCTCTCTGCAAGCAAAGAGTTCGACAGACACCCGACCCGGCAGCTCACAAAGCGCAGATACTACACTTTGATCCTAGCCACCGGGCCGAGCGGGTATTCTTTCTTTTTTTTTTTAGGCGGAGAGATTAAAGCAGCGAGTAACCTTACTAACGTGTTTGTGCAAATGAATTTGAGTTGGGAGCACTTCGCAAGTCGTGTCTTTTGCAGAATAGAAAAAAATACATAGATTACTAAGATCTATCAAGAACAGGTAGGTGTGGGGAGCCATGATCACATATTGAACAAGAAATATTATCACTGAAAGGGGGGATGAAATGGAACTAATGCTTTTAATTTAATTGCAAAATTAAATTAGGGGTTTTTAGCTTCTATTTTTGAAACATGGTTGGAACTGTGTAGCGAAAATAACCATATTTTAAATCAATTAATTTATAATATTAATGCTCTGTAAATTTACATTGAGCACTATTTTGTAAAAATAAAATATCTATAAGAACACTGGATTTTATATCTTACTGTTCTTTTTTATATATATATATATATATATATATATATATATATATATATATATATATATATATATATATAAATATATATATATATATATATATGGCAAGATTATAATTAATATAGATGTATCAATCAAAGCAACAAAATAATAGATTTATCACAGCTACTTTCTTACGCTCTCGCTAAAGTATCGTACTTTATATACTGTACACTTGTGAACTAATACGACTCGTTTCGCTGAGCACGCAAATTTTGAAATACATCGCTGATGATTTGGAAGTTTTATTTACTGCAGATTTTTTTTTCTTATTTTGCCTGCGGATTTTGACCGTTGCATCCGAAGTCCGTTGATGAGAGGTTTTTCTGTATTTAGCTTTCAAAAATAGGATCATATTTTTTTCAAGAGCCTAAAGAAAATACCTAGTTGTTTAGTGCTTGCTAGAGCGTATGAGCATGTCAAGTTATATTTAGATTCAGGAAAAGAGAAAACGAAATAGAAGACACATTTCTTATATCTGTTTTCGTATTTTCCTTCTTTTTTTAGTTTTTATTCTCTTCGTTCTTTTTTACTTTCTTTCGACTTTTTTTTCTTTTTTTGCCTTTTTCTCTATCTTTCTGTAATTTTAAAACGCATTCTTTTTTTACCTTTTCCTTCAAATTTTCTCTTCATTTTCATCTTATTCTACGCTTTCTTTCTTTCCTTCTTTCTTCCTTTCCTTCTTCCCTTCTTTCTTTCTTTCTTTCTTTCTTTCTTTCCTTCTTTCTTCCTTTCCTTCTTTCTTCCTTTCTTTCTTCCTTTCCTTCTTTCTTCCTTTCCTTCTTTCTTTCTTTCTTTCTTTCTTCCTTTCCTTCTTTCTTCCTTTCCTTCGTTCCTTCTTTCTTCCTTTCTCTCTTTTTTCTTCCTTTCCTTCTTTCCTTCTTTCTTCTTTTCCTTCTTTCTTCCTTTCCTTCTTCCCTTCTTTCTTTCTTTCTTTCTTTCCTTCTTTCTTCCTTTCTTTCTTTCTTCCTTTTCTTCTTCCCTTCTTTCTTTCTTTCTTTCTTTCTTTCTTTCATTTTTCCTTTCCTTCTTTCTTCCTTTCCTTCTTTCTTCCTTTCCTTCTTCCCTTCTTTCTTTCTTTCTTTCTTTCTTTCTTTCTTTCTTTCTTTCTTCCTTTCCTTCTTTCTTCCTTTCTTTCTTTCTTTCTTTCTTTCTTTCTTCCTATTTTTCTTTTTGTTTCTCATCTTCGCTCCGTTCATCATTCATCTTCTGTTTCAACTTCTCTCCTTCTTTTCCTTTCTTATTTATATCTCCAAATATTTTCAAATATATAATCTCACGTTTTCCTTCTTTTTTTTTTTTAACTGATTCTTTTAAATCCATTTGCTTTCACGTATTCCCTCCCCGTCCTTTCTTCTTTTACATTCTTTTTCCTCTTCATTTTCGTTTTCTCTTTCTCTGTAATTTGTTTTGTTTCTTTTATTTTATTTTCTTTCTTCTTTCTCTTAAATCTATTTTCTTCTACTTCTTTCTTTCTTTCTGTTTTTACAAAAATATTTCCTTTCTTTTCCTTCATTTTCTCTTTATTTTAAATCCTTTCTCTTCCACGTCTTTTCTTTTTCTTTCTTTTAACGACATTTTCGTTTATTTATTTATTTCTCTTCCCTTTTTTTAAGGAGTCTGATTCTCTTCTTTCATTCTTTTTTTTCCTTTAAATCCTTTTTCTTTCTAGTCTTTTTTTTTCTTTATAAATCCATTTTCTTCGTCTTCATTCCTCTTTTATAATTTCCTTTTTTCTTTTTGCCCTATTCTCTTGGTCTTTGTCGTTTTTTTTTCCTTCTAATTCTCTTCAATCCATATTCTTTCAGTTTTTCCTTCTCTTCCCACTTTTGTAAATTCCTTTTTCTTCCTCTTCTTTCCTTTTCTCTTTCTATTAAACTCATTTTTCTATCCATTTCTTTTTCCATTAAATTCAATTTTCCTTTTCTTACCTTTTCATATTTTTATCTATATATGCTGGACTCTCCCGATATATTCGACGTATGAGGGTCAAGCAGCTCATTTCCTAGGCACCAACAACCAGATACCTGTTTTTTATTATTATAGCGGTAAAGGCTTTGTGCAGAACCAACCACACTTTTTGAAAGGGCCGAATACAGTGACCCAGTGCCCTACGTGCCACAAGGTCCCCAAACGACCCTCCGCAAGTTTTGAATTCAGAGTCGTCCTTCTCCTAGACCAGTTGCCATCCAAGGCTATAGAACCCAGTCTCTCCTGGTGTTTACCCATAATTGGGGTGGGTAGAAGGAGAGAATTCATACTTTTCCCAAGGGTAGTATCACGTAAGTGAATGCAATGGATCCGACTGGAATTCATCTATCTATCTATCTATCTATCTATCTATCTATCTATCTATCTATCTATCTCTATATATATATATGTCATGAAAGAGTTATTTCATGTGTGTTGTTTGTTTGGCTGGTTGGTTGGTTGATTTTGTTTAGCGGCATATCAACACCTTTATGGGTTATTTAATGCCGAAATCTAAATATTTTGTACTGAATTTTATGTTTTCAACAACAGATATTTTGTACATAGCATTATACTCTCAGAGTAAAGGTATATTTGTAGATAAGAAAAATATCAGTCAGATACAACGCTTAAGCGATCATGTATCTTTCGATACATGACTGACGAGGCAGATTTTTATTTTATTCGGTTTTATTTTCCTTTCCTTTCTTCTTAATTCCTTTCTTCTTTTTCCTTTCTTCTTTATTTTTTGTTTATTTATTTCGCCGTCCATCCTTTTTCTATTACTTTATTCGCTTCTTGCTTCCTACTTTTCATCTTTCTTTCTTTCTTCCTTTCTTTCTTTTTTTCTTTCTTTCTTTCTTTCTTTCTTTCTCTCTTCTTTCTTTCTCCGTCGATGCCTTTTGTCATACTTTATTCGCTTCTTTCTTTCTTTCTTCTTTCTTTTTTTCTTTCTTTCTTTCTTTTTCCGTCGATGCCTTTTGTCATACATTATTCGCTTCTTTCTTTCATTCTTTTTTTCTTTCTTTCTTTCTTTCTTTCTTTCTTTCTTTTTCCGTCGATGCCTTTTGTCATACTTTATTATTTCTTTTTTATCTTTTTCTTTTTTTTCTTTCTTTCTTTCTTTCTCCGTCGATGCCTTTTGTCATACTTTATTCGCTTCTTTCTTTCTTTCTTTCTTTCTTTCTTTCTTTCTTTCTTTCTTTCTCCGTCGATGCCTTTTGTCATACTTTATTCGCTTCTTTCTTTCTTTCTTTCTTTCTTTCTTTCTTTCTTTCTTTCTCCGTCGATGCCTTTTGTCATACTTTATTCGCTTCTTTCTTTCTTTCTTTCTTTCTTTCTTTTTTTCTTTCTTTCTTTCTTTCTTTCCGTCAATGCCTTTGTCCTTCTTTTATTCGCTTCTTTCTTTCTTTCTTTCTTTTTTCTTTCTTTTCTTTCTCCGTCGATGACTTTTGTCATACTTTATTATTCTTCTTTTTCTTTCTTTCTTTTCTTTCTTTCTTTTTTTTCTTTCTTTCTTTCTCCGTCGATGCCTTTTGTCATACTTTTATTCCTTCTTTTTTTCTTTCTTTCTTTCTTTCTTTCTTTCTTTCTTTCTCCGTCGATGCCTTTTGTCATACTTTATTCGCCTTTTCTTTCTTTTTTCTTTTTTCTTTCTTTCTTTCTTTCTTTCTTTCTTTCTTTCTTTCTTATTATCCCTCGTTTCCTGTTCAGGATTGGGCTTCCGGTTCCTTCTAGAGTCTATTTCAACTCTATACTTCTGACGTCTCCGACTGACCTCTGAAATTTATTTCACCAATTTTTTTTTTATTTTTTATTTTATTTTTCTCTCCCAATAGGAGAAGATAGGTTCGCCTATCGCTCGCTTCACACCCCTCCGCGGTATATTGAACAGGAGAAGAGGTTTATCCCTTATTTCCCGTTCAGGACTGGGTTACGTCTACTTCAGCTCTATACTTCTAACGTCTCCGACTAACATGTTATTCCCTAATTAAACTTTATCTCTTCAAATCTAGGGTTAAACATTATATTTCTTGTATAACAACAATGTGCTTCAATTTTTCCCTTTCTTACGCTCATACGATATCACATAGTAACCCTCTACCTTGAGTGGCTCTTGGGTCTTGTACTGAGTGAACATTATTAAAAATAAAGATTTGTATTCATTAGTCATTGAGGAAGGCGTGACAGTTGTCAGAGTAGAAAATATTGATTTTGTTATCATCTACGCTGCCTTAGATCTTGTCTTCATCTGCGACGAGATTGTCTTGTATTCACTATCATAGGAACCGATATTGTATAAGAGTTTTTAATCACTTCTGTTTTTTTTAACGAAATTTTCTTGTTTGTTAATACTTAGTTTAGATTTCATAAGGCATTATTCCAGTTCGCATTCGGATTTCGGGGTCATATATTCGATCCCCCGTGAAAACATTTCCTGGATATTTAAATAACTTTTAAAGAATTTGATATCCTGGCTAAGAATTATTTTATTCGCACCGAATTGACCTATTCTCTACGTTTTATGTTTTGCTGCTAAGGAAGTCTTTCCGAGGTTTCGTTAAATGAAAATTAGGAGCTGATAAGCTAATTGAGTCAGGAGGATGTGGTAAAAATATCCTTACCATGTGATTTTTATTTTTATTTATTTATTTATTTATTTATTGCTTGTTTCATGAATTTACGAAGCTTTCCATTTTGATTCACACAAATTCAAAATACTTGTGACGTCACTGGATAAACGTCTATTAAAAATGCTTTCGTCTGGGTCAAATGGTGGGTTGTTCGGGAATTAATGTCGCATCACTGCAGATGGCATGAAATGAAGCTGGTGGAACTCTCGCATTTAAAATTTGACAAATAACCCCCTGACACCCCCCCCCGACAACCCCCTGACAACCCCCCGACAACCCCCCAAAAAAACGTTATTCTTTTGCTCTTTGGGAAAATAATCTGGGTTTGAGGGACGTACAACTTTTCTAATAATGCTAAATTGATCTTTATTCCACTTTACAAACATTTCCAACTCTGTCACTGATTTGAATAAATGAACATTATAAGTAGCATGCAAACGTATCTACCGCTTTTTTTTTTAAATTTGAAACTAGTATATGAAAAATAGTGACTGAAAACTAGTGTCAGAAAACTAATGTAATGTCTATTGAAAGTTAGTCTTTTACAGAAAACACATCCCAGAAATCTATTTAACCTTTTTATTATTCCGTTAGCATGAGTGATTTTACCGAATATCTACGTTGACTGGAGAATATCATGGAGTTCCCAGGGAGGATCGATCTCATTATTCAGTAACAGTGCTTAATAACACGAGCATCGCTAACAACAATTTCATGCCAATGATTATATTATGAAATTGCATTGGAAAACATTTCACTATGAAAATGCAACGTAAATGATTTTAATATGGAATTTCATAGGGAATGAATTTACTATGAAAATTCATTTAAAATGATTTTACTATGAAAATGCATTGCCAATGATTTTACTATGAAAATGCATTGCTAATGATTTTACTATGAAAATTCGTTGCAATGATTTTACTATGAAAATTCGTTGCCAATGATTTTACTATGAAAATGCATTGCAAATGATTTTACTATGAAAATTCATGGAAAATGATTTTACTATAAAAATGCATTGCCAATAAATTTTCTATGAAAGTGCATTGCCAATAATTTTACTATGAAAATGCATTGTAAATGATTTTACTATAAAAATGCATTGCCAATAATTTTACTATGAAAATGCATTGTAAATGATTTTACTATGAAAATGCATTTCCAATGATTTTACTATGAAAATGCATTGCCAATGAATTTAGATGAAAATTCATTGCCAATGATTTTACTATGAAAATGCATTGCAAATGATTTTACTATGAAAATGCATTGCAAATGATTTTACTATGAAAATGCATTTCCAATGATTGTACTATGAAAATGCATTGCAAATGATTGTGCTATTAAAATGCAATGCAAATTATTTTAACGTATTAAAATCATTTGCAATGCATTGCTAAAGATTTTGCAATAAAAATACATTACAAATGATTTTACTATGAAAATGCATTGTAAATGATATTACTATAAAAATGCATTGAAATGGATTTTACTATTACAATGCATTACAAATAAGCTTACTATGAAAATGTATTGCAAATGATTTAATATGAAAATGTATTGCAAATGATTTAATATGAAAATGCATTGCCAATGATTTCACTGTTCAATGTATCGGAGGTGATTATACAATGAAAATGTTTTTGCAATAATTTTAGTTTAGGTTTCTTTGATTTTATCATAAGTCAAGACTTGAAGGTTATTTAAGGTAGAATTTTGTTTTCTGTACCCACTGAGGATCGAACTCCCTATTCAGTAATCATGTTTATCCCAACTAAGCTCGTTAAACATTACCACCAGCCAACATCATTACTTTTAATTCAAAAGAAATCTTAACCCTTGTAACAATTTAGATTGTTCCTACAGTTGTCCTTATCTTTATTGTCACGTCCACAACGTTCCTGCCGTTGTAAGCTCCGGCCTTCTCCAGGTGATATATTTAGGAATTTCGAACCGAATCTTTTATTTCGTCCACTGGGGTAGATTGTTCTAGAGCCATGTGTTATGCCTTTTTTGAATATCTCGGTTTCAGTTACTTCCCTTTAGTAACTCAACTCTCCAAGGTTTTTGTTTACCGTTGCTGAACACACAACTCTACGTAAACTATATCAATGTACTTATGCAACGTGATATCTTAAATAATAATAATAATAATAATAATAATAATAATAAAACAATACAAGAAAATATGCAAATTCATAATCTGGATTGATAATCGATAATAATATATGAAAATATTCTGAAAAATAAAAATAAATAATTGAATGTTATTTTTTTACTGTTCGGAAATGAAGTAAGACCATTTTTTTACTGCCGTAGAAGTATTAATTTTCTAAGAATTATCATTAATTTACTCTGAATTATTATTAAATTTACTATGAATTATCAATAATTTACTATGAACTATCAATAATTTACTATGAATTATTATTAAATTAACTATGAATTATCATTAATTTACTATGAATTATCATTAATTTACTATGAATTATCATTAATTTACTATGAATTATCATTAAATAAACTATGAATTATCATTAAATAAACTGTGAATTATCATTAAATAAACTATGAATTATCATTAATTTACTATGAATTATCATTAATTTACTATGAATTATTATTAATTAACTAAGATTTATCATTAATTTACTATGAATTATCATTTAAACTATGAATTATCATTAATTTACTAAAAATTATCATTAATTTACTATGAATTATTATTAAATTAACTATGAATTATCATTAATTTACTATGAATTATTAATACTTTACTATGAATTATTATTAAATTGACTATGAATTATCATTAATTTACTATGAATTATCAATAATTTATTATGAATTATTATTTAATTGACTATGAATTATCATTAATTTACTATGAATTATCATTAATTTACTATGAATTATCATTAAATAAACTATGAATTATCATTAAATAAATTATGAATTATCATTAATTTACCACGAATTTATCTATAGAAATAGCCCACTTTTTGCGCATTTTATTTTAGGATAATCAATAACAAAGTGGAAAAATATTTTTCGTGTCATGCGTTTCGTTCATTATGTCATCATCGGACTAAAGTAATGTTTACGTTGATGTGGCTACACATCCGCATGAAGGAGAGCGGGGATTGGAAATTTTAAACGTTTAAATTAATTTTTGTTATATTTATAATATGTGTTTGTGCATATAGTATAAAGGATTTCATAGATTTTAGAAATCTTTTAATTGCTTGATCGGCCACAGTAAATTTATACCCAGATTTGTACGTTTCGCCTCTCTTAGCAGATCTTCTATTATTACCATGTGGGATAATTAATAATAAAAATGACAGAAACACAAACAAAAAGAAAAATAATCTAAATGAAATAGGCTACACAATATACCCAAACATATTTAAAAAAATAAATAAATAAATTTATACGTTTAAATTTTCAGCCACTCGTCTCCATCTTGTGCATGTGTAGTCACGTGAACGTAAATATTAATTTACACCAATGAAGTTCTAAAAGATGCAAACATTTTTCCACTTTGTCATATATTTTCCTAAAATTGCTCTGATATCTAAAACTTTTTTTTTTTTTACATTTGTTTTCTGGAGTGCTTAATCCATCACTCAGTCAGTTATGTGTCACGCGTGATACAGGCTTAGGCAGATTTTTTTTTCTCGCAGTGCGTTGCTATTTATTTTGCGGTAGACCAGTTGCCATCTAAAGCTATAGGACCCAATCTGTCCTCCTATTTACCAATAGCTGGGAGAGAAGAAGAGGATTCATACCTTTCCGAAGGGTATTAGCATATAATGGATTCGACTGGAATTCGAACTCGGCTCTCCGATTCCTGAATCCTTGTCTCCCGTTAATCTATAGTAATATGAAAAGAAAATTAAATAAATGTTTTTTTCTCGTCGCAGTATTTTTTTTTTTATATTTTTTGTTCGTTTCGGGATAAAGAAATTGTTTGATTTCTTTTCTATCTAAAAATGATTATTTTTCCGACATATATATTTAAATTTTAATGGCTTCGTCTCAAATGTTACGCTATTTTACGTACAATAC